ACAGCCTTTCACCTCACCTCGATGCTCCTGTCGCTCTTCATTCTCGCTACGCTGGCCATCTTTGCGGTGATTGCCTACCTGCAGGCCAGTAAGGAGGAGGATACCATCTCAAGGCGAGTTCAAATTAGAACTCCTCAGGAGGAGGAGGAGTTTGACATGGACAGCTCGCCCAGACATCACAGTCAACAGCAGTCATCAAGAGCTTCTGAAGATCAGCAAATGATGCAGCAGCTGTACGGCAGCAGCAGTCAACAGGCGTCGATTTCAAAATCTAAACATCAAACTATCAAGTCACCCTCCTTTACCCTGGAGCAGCAGTCCCTGGAGATGGACTACTACGACTACGTGGCGCCTCTGACCATTGTGGAACACCACCATCATCAACAGCAGCAAAGCTCCACCTATGAGACCNGCAGTCCCTGGAGATGGACTACTACGACTACGTGGCGCCTCTGACCATTGTGGAACACCACCATCATCAACAGCAGCAAAGCTCCACCTATGAGACCTTAACAAATCACCAGCAGCAGCAGCAGCAAACACTTGAGCACACTTCAACGGCAGATTCCACCACCAACACCAGCAGCACTTGCCATCACTTCCGCACTCTGCCCATCAAGGTGAACTCGCCCAGCAGCAGCTTGAGCCGAAATAAGCAGCTATCGCTGGTCAAGCAGAATAATACCAGCAACACCAATACCACCTCGAGCTGCTGTTCATTAGCTGCCGCTGCCTCTGGTAATGGTGGCGGCACTTCACTGGTGCGAGCAGGAGGAGGAGGAGGAGGAGGTCAGTCGTCAGCAGCTTGTTCGGCGGCAGGCGCCCAGTCCACCAGTGGTTACGTGATTAATGACCACAACAGTCAACAACAACAACAACAACAGCTACAGCAGCCAAACTCGAATTCAGGCAGCAGCACAGAAGCGGAAAGAATGGTGGCCACCTTGGCCCGTCTTTCCTTCACCAAGCCGCCCGTCCTCCTCTCCACCTTCAGACCATCCGCGGGCGCCGGAGAATGAACTCGCTCTGAGCGTTTTCAATATTCTCCTTCTCCTTCTTCTTCTTCTTCTTCTGAGCTCATTGAAGCAAACTGCGAACTGAGTGCAAATAACTCACCCTAGGTGTTTTCTCACTTGCATTACTCACAGTGTCAACATTCTCTTATTCAATTTCCCGATACCCTCTTTTCTCCTCTTTCCTCCTTCTTCAACACACTTCACTTGACACACAGGCCGTCGACAGCAATCAATCAAACTGACACACACACACACACACAATTCTGTGCAATTTTTTCTGTTTTTTGTACTACCGGTGTTGGCGGCTCGGCTGCTGCTGTAATTCAATAGAGAGTCAATAAACATACAAGAATACATAATATATATTAGGAGAGAGACGAGGAGGAGAGAATATGTAAGAGAAGGGAAAGAGAGTGAAAAGGAAAGAGGGGGAGGCAAAATGCAAACAAGACACTGGTAAGGTAGCTGAACTTCAAACTTCAAAAGAGAGAGAGAGAGAGAGGACCTAGGCGGCAGCAAAAAAGTCCTCCAGCGTCACCTCCTTCTTCTTCACCACCACCACCTCCTCCAGGCGCTGTCGTNAAAATGCAAACAAGACACTGGTAAGGTAGCTGAACTTCAAACTTCAAAAGAGAGAGGAGCAAAGAGCTCAGGCGGCAGCAAAAAAGTCCTCCAGCGTCACCTCCTTCTTCTTCACCACCACCACCTCCTCCAGGCGCTGTCGCTTGCTGCTGCCACTGCTATCATAGCCACTACCATTTCCATTTCCTCCCCTTCCTCCTCCTCTTCGGTCCTTGGAGATGACCTGGCGGATGCAGCCGTGGAGGAGGTCCAGCTGCCGGAGAATGTTCATCTGCGTGAGGAGGCGGACGCGGACGGCGTAGGCGGAGCGGACGCGCTCAAACAGCGAGCCCCGGTCCTCGCCTTCTTCTCCATCTTCTTCATTTCCCCCTCCCCAGAGCTGTTCATCGAGGGAGAGGTCGGCCGGGGCGTCGGGATAGCCGGCCGGGAGGTACAGCGTGGCCGGCGGAAAGTTGGGCAGCTTCGGGTCGACGACGCGGACGAGCAGGGTGCAGGGGAGGGCGGTGGCGTTCAGGGGCTTCTTCTCCTGAGAGCTGGAGGGCATTCCGCGGTGCAGCGGCGTAAAGGAGAAGCGGTCGGCGTAGAGCNGGCGGAAAGTTGGGCAGCTTCGGGTCGACGACGCGCACGAGGAGGGTGCAGGGCAGGGCGGTGGCGGAGGAGTTCAGGGGCTTCTTTGAGGACTCCTGAGAGCTGGTNGATAGCCGGCCGGGAGGTACAGCGTGGCCGGCGGAAAGTTGGGCAGCTTCGGGTCGACGACGCGGACGAGCAGGGTGCAGGGGAGGGCGGTGGCGTTCAGGGGCTTCTTCTCCTGAGAGCTGGAGGGCATTCCGCGGTGCAGCGGCGTAAAGGAGAAGCGGTCGGCGTAGAGCAGCAGCTCGTGGTGGAGGGCCGTCTGGGCGGCGGCGGCGGAGGCCGTGGCGGCTCGCTTCAGTCGATTCGCTTCGCTCATTCGGTTGTTGTTGTTGCTGAAGGAGGAGGTAGAAGCACTGTTCTCGATCACTGCATTCGAGGAGGTAGTGGTGAGCGTCCTCGGCGAGATGGAGCTCCGGTGGTGGAGGACGCTGAGCGCCGGCGCAAAGGCCTCCTGCACCAGCAGCGAGTGCGTCGTCTGGTCGCGGTCCATCGACCGCCGGACCGCCTCCACCAGATTCGCCATCTTCTCGTGCAGCTGACAGCGAGAGGTGGCGGAAGGGGCGCCACCCTGAGCTTGGGCTTGAGCTTGGGCCTGTGCCTGAGCTTGAGCATGAGCTTGGGCATGAGCTTGGGCTGGCGACTGCATATGCATCTGCTGAGGCGGCCCCAGAGCGCCGGCAGAAGTGGGCGGTGGCAAATGATGCTGCTGGGACTGTTGAGCCATTTGCTGCTGATGCTGGTGCTGAAGATGAGATTGGGAGATCGAGTTTGGATGCTGTTGCTGCTGTTGGTGGTGCATTTGCATCTGCTGCTGCTGCTGTTGATGAATTTGGTGTTGCTGCTGTTGCTGCTGCTGCTGCAATTGGAGCTGCTGCTGATGCTGAAGTTGCTGCTGCTGCTGCTGCTGCTGCTGATGTTGCTTTTGCTGTTGAATTTGCTGCATCTGCTGCTGTTGCAGTAGCTGATTCTGATGTTGCTGTTGCTGTTGTTGCTGCTGCTGTTGCTGATGAAGAATGAAGCCAGGGCTTTTCTGTGACTGCTGTTGTGGCTGCGGATGCAGCTGACCCCCAGGAGCCATCATCGTTTGACCTTTAATCATCGCCTGCTGGCTTTGAACTTGAGGAGTGACATGACTGCTGTTGATACCACCACTGTTGTTACCAAGACTGTTGCCGATGACCGCTGAGCTGCTGCTGCTGCCGGCCACCGATGGAATGTTATTTAGGTTGCTATTGTTGCTGTTCACCGTTTGAACTTGAATACCACCACCACCACCAACACCGCTGTTTGCCCCCACCGAGGGAAACCGCTGGTTGGCACTCTGAAAGACGTTCTGACTGTTGGAGCTGACGGCGCTGTTGGGCAGCTGAGCTGGCAGCGGCTGACGGAAACCACCGCCGCCGCCGCCGCTGGGAACATTAACGACATTGACGACGTTGGGGACATTTGTACTGTTCATGGTGCGGACCATTCGCACTCGGGTGAAGGTGGCCTGCTGGGGCGCCATCGGCGGCTGTTGATGCTGTTGTTGTTGTTGCTGCTGCTGAAGTAGCATTCGCTGCTGAAGTTGCTGCTGCTGCTGCTGCTGAGCATAGTTCACCGAAGTTGCGGTTGTTGCTGGACCCATTTGCTGAGGTTGCTGGCCCTGCTGCTGTTGCTGCCCAATGGAAACCGGCGCGGCACTAGGTCGCGGCTGCGGAAGCTGCTGCAGCTCCTGCAGTGAGGCAACGCTGGAATTCTTCTGGAGCATCGGATTCATGGCCGGCGATTGGTGCTGCTGCTGCTGCTGCTGTAGAATAAAGCCAGAATTTTTCTGCTGCTGTTGTTGTTGCTGCTGTTGCTGCTGCTGCAGCTGCGCAACAATGGCCACATTCTTGGGCATCGATTGGTTCTGGTTCTGGACAATGTTGTTGTTGGTGGCATAAGTTTGAGCAACAGGTAAATTGTTGTTGTTGTTGTTGTTGTTAGCAGGAACACCACCATTGGCCGATGCCGCAAATCTCTCCATTCGCTGGTTTACATTCTGAAATGGATTCACCGGGGCGGCCACGTTTGACTGAAGCTGAGGCTGAGGCTGTCGATAGTCGTTCATGTTGGGGTTGATAATGTTTGTACTGTTCTGGTTCTGGTTGCGAACGATCATCATCTTCTCCGGTTGCTGAAGTTGCTGTTGCTGTTGCTGTTGCTGCTGCTGCTGCTGCTGCTGCATCAACTGCTGCTGTCGCTGCTGTTCAGCCGCCTGCTTCTTCTTCATCGTGAAGCCCTGCAGAAACTTCTCCGTCTGATCGAGATTTCGAACCGTCTGCGCGAATATTCGCTCGGCGTTGAGCGTGGAGAAGATGACCTGCACCTGCGTCACATTGCTCCGTCCTCGGAGCTGGTTGAGGGTGTCGGCGTAGGTGGCCTTGAGGAAGGCCTGCTTCTCCCTGGCCTTCCGA